AGTGTGTCTTACATCTTCTTCCCAATTGTAAATTATCGTTTTAGTGTCGATGTCTTTTTTCTTTATAGTAGAGGGTTCTACGGCGCTCGCAACTGCATAAGGTCTTATGAGCACCAAGGGGTGGGTGTCAACAGAGAAGTCTTTACAGGGAATCAGACTTAGACTGCTCACCTCTCTAGCTTCAGCAGCACAACGTCTGCTTCGACTATCAAGGCACCCCGGAAATAGCAAGTCACAAGGGAGTGACAAACATACAAAAGAAGTAGAGGCAAATGACAATAGTAAGGATCAGGAAAGAAAAAGCAGCAGTTCCCTGTTGTAGATCAGGCACAGTTATGAGCGTGACATGAGTCTGCTCATTTACGATTCTACTACGCTTGAACGAGAAATGTTCCCCCTTTGGGAATGGCCTAAAGACACGTCAGTCTGTGGCACCGCCCCGGGGGGTAGTCGATGTCTTTGTCTTTGCTCAAACAAACCGTCAGTGTCATTGTGTTCTTTGCTTTTCTTTTCTTTTTATCCCTTTTCCCCTACATATCGTTTGCTTTTTTAAAATTTATCTTTTTAAAAAATGAAATTCATTTTTCATACCTCTGCTTATCTCGTCAAATTGTTCGTTCTCTTCTTATTGTGTCGACGTCTTTTATCTCATAAACATCCGCCTTGTTCCCACACATTCTCATTTCCAGCTTGTCTCAATTATTTTCCCGCCGTTTCCCACTCTCGTCTCGCCCACCGCGCCGACATGCACATCCATGTTTTTTCCCGCCGTGAGAGAGGAGAGAAGGGAAATGAACGGGAAAATCGAGTCCCTTAGGTCGGGCGCCCTGAAATAAATTTTAACTGTCGATGCGTCAAATGGGATATAAAATTGGGAAGGCCGTTTTTTCTCGCTGCAATTTTCTGAGGGGAGGTAATACCGGATATTGAGCAAGGGAGAGAAGCCATGACACACACAACTATGATGAGCTATGGCGCTTGGCCTATCGACCAGATCGCGTTTGTCATGTTTTCCCAGACATTACAGAGCCTAGTCCCGACCTCTAGCTCATTCCGCTGGATCAACCCGTTATCTTTTTTTAACCTAGTTCTGTAATAGATCGATAGACATAATTATCTGGATACACTCTTCCCCCTCCCCTCCAGTCCCCTTCCTTCCCCCTCCCTCTTACGACAACATTTTCGGGACATACTTTTTCCTTTTTTTCGTCGTTATTTCTCCACCCCCATCACAGAGATCCCAAAGCTAAAAAAGCCAAAACACGACAAAAATAATTATATATACAAAAGCAATGTAGGCCTAAACTTAATGTTTTCAGGACTTTAATAATGGGCGCGTGCGCACGTACTGATTTATCCAGTACCGGTACACTTTAAACAGTATACACCGGTACAACAGGGCAGGGGACATGACTCTCGCGTTGACGGGGCCACCCGGACTCGGACTGCTTCTTGTTTCAACCAACAACTCAACACTTATCATCAACATTCAGCATTGATTTAGCTAGGCTTAGTACCTCCCGGCCTTTGGGTAAATAATCAGTTAGAATCGTTGGTTACCGATTTATTAACACGCTCTGTGGTAGTGAGTTGCATCTCTTTAATTGTTTTGGGAGGAATTCCGTTACGAGCGACCACTGAAAAAGACTAATTATCACTAGAGTAGATCAGTGGGTGATCTTGTAGTTCCGTTCGTTCAAGTCCACGATCCATTTGTTTACATCCAGAGAAGAAATCCAGAAGTCTTGAAGACCAAATACTATTTGAATTAGGCTACACAAAGAGCAGGGATGCAACCTAACTGAAAAACATCAAATTAGGATAAAATTCAGGGGG